GATTACTTCTAGGTTTTCCTACCATCCACTTTTTTTTCTTGGGATAGTATCACTTCAGCAGCTGTTAGATGGCTCTGAGTTGTTAATTCGGATTTATAGTGGTGCTGTCTACAACCTCAGAAGTGTTTGTCTTTATTTGTTTCCTCCTTTCCAGGTGCGAACTGCGTACCTGCAGGTTGGACCTCCTCTAGTTCTGCATTAGCAGCTCTTCTCAAACTAACCAAGAATCATTTCTGCAAGAAAAGTTTTGGTATGCCATACTGCCCACAATACCCTTGCAGATGGTCTGGTGTACTTGCTTCAGCAGAGACAAGTCAAACAGCCCCTTCATATATATGAATACATACGAATAAGCTGATAAAAGCGATTGATCTTGTCATGTTTAATTTGTGGGCTTGAGTGACTCCAAAGGTTGATCCCTACATGCAGTCTTAAAATGTCTTAAGTACAGTGGAAGACTTGCCTAGCTCTTCTTCTCTGGGCCATATTTCACCCTGGCAGAAACCAGACCAGATGAAGATGGATTTATGGGGGCTTTGGAAAATCTATCTTCTTTGGGCATAGGTATCAGTAACATTAGTGCATCCTTTGAAAATAGCCTCAAGAGGTTTCTGGGTGCTGTTTTCTACTTAACTTTGATAGCTGTCTCTGACTATTTGGGAAAGAAAGAATACATAAAGAGGAGTCTTTGTGCTTTTCCCCTGCAAAGGAGAATTCCTTGATCGTCTTTCTTCGAGCAGATTCGGGCACGTTGTTCCTTTTGCTTTCATATTGTAAACCTACACATCCTGTCCTCATTCCTACAGTAACGAAAGAGCTTTGCTTGGGAGTGCTGGCCTCTCTTCAGTGGTCTTTGTCTTCTCTCCTAGGAAACAGTTTGAATGTGTCAGAAGAGTCCCAGTTCCTCCGAACTGCATCTAGCCAAGAACCTGACCAAGCTGGTCTGTAGTATTTCTCTCATTAAAAGCCTGCTTCTTTCCCCCCAAAACAACCGAAGTCGTCTGTGAACAGTAACAAAGGCTTAATTGTGGAGACTTGGGACTTGGCAGAAGTGCCTATAAATGAAGTGCTTTTTTGGAAGCTACATTGCCTGTCTTGCAGATCAAAAAATAAATGCCAAGTATTTCAAAGTGTATCAGTGGATTAATTCATTTGATTGCCACTTCCCTTCCTCGTCTCTTTGTGGGGAGGGGTACTCCGGAGATAGGAATTTTAATTGCTTGACCACAGTTTCTAATTAGTGGAGCACCAAAAGGGCATGGATCATTAATTAGTACTGAATATAAGGATCTCTGAGGTTGAGCTATAGCATCAAATGGGTGAGTTTAGACAACTCTTGACTGAAATTACAGTCTATCAGTAAATTGAGCTATAATAATGAAACCATTAGAATTTTTTCTCAGTACTTGCATGTTGGTTTCTATGTTTGCAGAGTATATTCTAGTGGTCTTAAAGAACGTAGCATTTTTATATTAATAGATATTTAATATTTGTATATATATTATACCTATGTATCTATTCTGAAGGCATATATATACATACCTACTCAGAGTTGTTATGCAATGGCATGCTTTATTTAATTTTATTAGATGTTTTGGAGTTTTAATCCATTCGGTTGTTTCATTGGCAATATATAAAAAAAGTGTTCTCTACAGCTGCCTTCTTTTTCAGTCGGTACCTGGATTTGTGCTACTGTATCCAAAGGGAAGTCTAGCTCTTGAGTATAATGGTCTGAAAACAGAACATTATCCACATTATTACTTTAATGTCCAATAGTCTGTATCATATTTTTTTCTGGTTTTAAAACTTGATGATGGAAGTGAATTGTACAACTTTAGTTCTACATTAGTATTGCTGCATTCAAGATTCTCAGATAATGCAGTGTGGAATAGGAATATGTCTGTAATACGTACTGGTATCAACTTGTTTTCTACTAGGTGGATTAAGAACTGGATTAATGGACAGACTGCAAAATGTAGACGCATGTGGGGTCACCATAAATTTCTGTGTGTGTATTACAGAGTGTTCTGCAGTATTTGCATCCATAGTCTAGAGGTAAATAGGAAATGATTGCTGATAAAACTTAGTAATAATCTGAACGGTGTGTGCCTTATTTCAGCTAAATTCATAAACTGGACTTTGGTTATGGACATGTAATTAGGGATGTTGATGGGGCAAATGGAAAACAGTTGCTCTGAAATTTAAATAATACAAAAAATTATATAAATGGATCAAGTTCTGCCACCTGTTCCACTTCCATATTCCATTTGTGCACATATATGTATCCACTTGGGGCCTTTTAAAATACGAAACACATTTGAATATGCAAAAGCCATAAAGGCTGATTTGTAAAACCCAGCAGAATTCAGTGATTAATCTAGAGACCTGTGCTTGTATTTAGTGGGAAGTAGGAATTAATTAATAGAAAACTACTAAAATGCATTTTTTTAACAGAAAACCTATATTCACTTTATTTTTAATTCTTCTGTAGAATTTTGTAAGAAGATGGTGTTCAGCAGTTTACCAGTACATTAATGGGTCTTTATTCATGTACTCTCTGGGGCTGAGCAACCATCTCCTGTTGAGAGTTAGTAGAAACTAAATGTGTGGGAGTTCAGAAGTTGGCAGGAGCTTTCACAGGACATTTTTCCTCAAGCTAATTTTCTTGGCTTTTGCTGTGTTTGAGACTCAGTTTGTGGAAGGAGTTCCATTTTGTGTTCCTGCTTAGGTTTAGAGCCAAATTTTTCACTTCAGCTTCCTTCCTCCCCCTGCCCCTCTCTCCTTACCTTAATTAAAGATGCTGAGGTCGAATGCATATAGTTGCAGCTGAAAAAGGATGAAAATAGCACAGATGAAATAGCTATACTGTTGAGACCTGGACCTTTATTTAGCATCACATTTGCTGCATGTCACTGTAACAGAGTTCAAAAGATGACTGAATTACTTTTTTCAACAGATTAATTGATAATCTCAAATTTTAAAGGGAACAAAATTTTGTTGGCAAACATGATTTTTACAGCTTCAGTTGTTCCTCCCATCTAAGTGAATGACAAAGTTATATTTGTTCAGTGTAAACTGGTATAGATTCACCACATCTGTATGTGTTCTGTCTGTTTCCCAAAGGCTATGAGTACATCCAAACTGAGATACTGACTGCTAAAACCAGTATCTGTATGGCACTGGCTAAAACTGCTCATTTTCAGCACCTTTGAAAACTGGCTAATTTATGGAGTGCCCAAGGATGAGCCCTGGTTTGAGAGTTAAGTGACAGAGGTTTTTAGATAATTTACTCCAGGTGGGTGTTGACTAAAAGATCGATCTCAACACCATTTGCCTTAAATAGTTTCTGGAAGCCTGGTAGAATCTGGTGCCAGCCCTTCCCTGAGCATGGAAGAAATTAATTTCAAAAATCACTTAGAGTAGTATGGGGTAAAGAAGTCAAAACAGCAGTGTTGGGTAGGACAGCATTTCAGATAATCACAAACCATCCTTGTCACTGAGGAATGTCCTGTAAAATACCTAAACACAGAAGTCCTTAGTATTGAGGTTAAGAGATTTTTAAAAAAGGAGAGAGAGATGTGCGCTAAGGTGTTTTAGAGGAAAGATGGTAATAGATGCTCATAGAGCCTGGACTCTAGTTTTGCACAGGTATCTCTCTTGATAAAGCTGTTATGAAGTGCCTTGAAAATAGTGTTGCTGAAATTACCCACCTTATCTGTGGTTTTGACAGAAACACCACTGCTCTTCACTCCTCTGAATACTTCCCTTGCTTTCACTTTGAACTTAAAAACTTCAGTCTGCTTTCCCTTATTTAACCTCCTTCACCACAATGCCCTTTTGTCATTTACCCATCTTCTTGTTATTCAGTCATTCCCAGCCCCTTCAGCCGAGCTGGCATGATGATCTGCACCGTTTCCTTGAAATCCTCTCTCACAGCATTTTAATAACTTCCTGGAATAAGTTCATAGTGCTCCTGCCCTTGTGTCGCCGTTCGTCTTGTCGCTGTTTGTGTTGTGGGTGCAGTCAAGTGACAGCAGCCAGTTAGGCAGCCACAGCTGTGTACATTGGATATATATGGTTAACCAGGGTGCTGAAACGTGGGGTCTTTTCTTGATTGAGCTCCATCAAGCTTGTGAAGGAGAAGGAGACCGTGGTGGCAGATTTGCCAAGCACATCAAAAGCAAAAGTGATCTTGAACTGTCAAAAGAATTCAAAAACAGGGAAAATGTTGCAGTATTTGCCTGCATAAAGAGAGGAATATGAAGTATGAGTGTAAAAGAAGTACTGATTTTTGCATACCTTAAGATCATTTGGGAATCCTACATTCACTTTTCCTAAATGTACTGGAAAAAAGCATTGGAAGAGGCTGAGAAGAAATCTAATCTGACACTTCCACTCTCACGAGAGGCTCGAACTCAATTTTATTCCCCATGAGAAGGCTAAGAGGTGAATTGGTTTTTGTTTACTCCATAATAAGTACAAGTAGATCAGCTAAAGTGCTTCCCAGCAAGCAGAAATAGCTGTAGAGATCGGTGGCAGGACACTGACAAGCATGAACCAGAAGCGAGTCATGAGTTTGCAGCACTGGGTGTATTGCTGGAAGATTTTAGATAGGGGATTGGTAGATTCACTTTCATTTGGTTGAATGTTTGTCTTAAAAGCGTCGCTATACCTCAGCCAACCCACGGCTTCTGTACGTAGGAATTGCTGCATGAGGTGTTGAGCAGAGGTCAGATGGCTCTCCTGCCCTTACACTAGCCATATGTTCTCATTTCTCCTACTCTGTTCTTTCCCCTCGTTTTACTCATTGCACTATCCTGAGATGGGCTGCAATCAGATCTCCATCTTCTGTATTTGCCCAGCTTCCAATGCCGTGATGCTGAACAAGTAGAAATAATAAACAGCGCTGAGGGTTGGTACCAGTTTAAAGAACTCACATGGGATGCAACTACTGAATATCCATTTATTCACTGCTTTCCTTTTTTTTTTTCTTTGCATAGTGAAATACATGAGAGAAGCAACCCCCTACGTGAAGAAAGGCTCTCCTGTTTCAGAAATCGGGTGGGAGACACCTCCCCCCGAATCTCCCCGCTTGGGTTGTGCCTCTGCTGACCCACTGTCGCAGCTTTCGCTCTCCATCCACAGAGACAAGAAGACAATACCGCTCAAGATGTGCTACGTGACGCGCAACATGACGGTGTCAGACCCTGAAAACAGGTGAGCAGGAAATTTCACAGAATCACAGAATCATTAAGGTTGGAAAAGACCTTTAAGATCAAGTCCAACCATCAACCCAACACCACCATGCCCACTAAATCATGTCCCGAAGTGCCACGTCCACATGTTTTTTGAACGCTTCCAGTGATGGTGACTCCACCACCTCCCTGAGGAAGTGTTTGCCTGGGGCTGGGATTTTGCCTTCTTGTTGAATCGTTGTTGGCCTTTCAGCATTGGCGGTGGGCTCTGGCTCACACAGCAGCCCAGTGAGGGGCAAGCGAGGACCAGTTTGGGAAGGGCGGGTGGTCGTGTCTGAGGCATGTGTGCTGAGTTTAGTGCCCAGCTGCGAGGGGATAGAGACCCCTCAGCTTTGGGTTGTGCCAGACAAACTCTTCAGTGCGGTAATCCAATGTTTTTATTAGAAATAGAATCATGGGTGTTTGTTTTTATCCTGATTAAGTGTCTGTTTTTGAAGGAGAAGACACTGTACACACTAATTGGTTGCAACTTCCGGGCTGGCTTAATCTAATTCCACTAAATTGCATTTTCTTTTCTTTTTAAATGAGTATTATTTTAAGAATGGCCTGTTTTGTCCATTCAGTTCTGGGCATTGAAGTAAAGAATAGGAGGAAAGTTCCACTTACAATGCATTAATGGGGAACTTCTGTGCCTTCTTGGTTTTTTTCATAATGTTAAAAATAGGACGAGCTTTTACCAGCCCTTATTTATAACATATGTGGAACAGCTGCACCACACCAGCACACTCTCTAATCCCTGCTCTAACAGCTGCTAATAAAAGAGGGACCAGTCAAGCCAGTAATACAGACTGATTCTTCCATCCAAATAATGGCCTTTTTGTTTTTCTGCAGTGTGCTGGCTTGCCCAGAAGCTGGGTGTAATGCCTTTGATTCTCAGCACTTACGTATAGGCATAAATAACAGTTATATTTTCATTTGCAGAGAAAGATGAGAAGAGGGGAGAGCAGAAGGGAGTTTGGGGAGGTTGGGTTCCCCTGCAATCTCTTGCACTGCAATTCAGAAACTTTATCAGTAACTGTGTAATTTTCCTTCTTTCTTTTTTATATTTGTCTGGCCTTCTTTTAAGTTTTCTTTTTCCTGTCTATGCTTTATTGTTTAGTATTGCTTTACTTCGCTTCTGCTCTTCATCTCACCAGGTGGTTACCACCGTAGTCAGTGATAACTGACCACTACAGAAGTGCAATTGTAAAACATCTATTACCCTAAGCAGTCTTTCTCAAGTTTAGATCAAGATGGTTATTGATATCGGCCACTTTTTTTTCACATGTATCTATATGGTTTAAGATGTTGAGGCTTGATGACTGGATCGCTAGCATGAGAGTTTGTCGTTCTGTCTGCCATGGAGTTTATTTAAAAAATACCCATGCAGGACACATTGTTTGAATCAGCACAATGTAACGATGCTTTACATGTTGGCTTAATTCTTTCAGCATTTTTCCACTTTTTTTATTTACTGTATTGTAGTTCTCAGCTTCTGCCACTCTCCTGGTCCTCAGTTTTGTTTGAAGGCCAGGGGGACTGATTCAGAGGGGCACACACTCATTGCTCATGTTATTTATGCAGTGGAGCTGACTTTTTCGAACTGTGCTACAAATGCGTGTATTCTTAGGTGTTACTAGGAAGTAACGCGTGGGAGAGTCATATTGCTTATTATCATGGTTTTAATTTTGTGTTGCTGTCATTTCCTGTGGAAAAAGTGACTTCTGATTTTTACTGTAGTCCAATGCAGTGCAGTGTACAGTCTAACCTGGGTTTTTCCATCCAAGCACACGGTGCCTCGCCATCGTGCTAGCTGCAGTGTAATAGTAGCATCCCATTAATTCGCATCTTTACCTATTTCAGATTTTATTAACAATTCTGGATACTGGAACTGGTATTTCCCGGTAGAAACGCTATTACAATGTAGCAGCCCTTTCCCACTGGAATATATCCCAAGACAGTAATCTGATTCTGCAAAAATAATTTGATCTTTGTTCACAGCAGAGCTCAAACCATGTCCTTACATGCTTATGGCACTTCTGTTTCATAACCCAGTGGCCTGACACACATAGATCTTATAACTGATAGTGTCACTTTGCTGGATGGCTTTAGAAGAGCATTGCTGGCAGGTTGCCAAACCATATGCTGGCCACAGAAGGGTTCCTTTGGACTACAGCTGAGCTATTTTTCAGATCAAGCACGGACATAGAAAGCATGAGTTTTCCAGTGCAGATGTTTCTCCAGTGCAGGCTAGACATCATGTCGTAGCAGGGTTGTGGGACCAGGCTGAACTGGTTTGATGTTGTTTGTCTCATGTTTGTCAGCATGAGAAGATACCTATGTTAAAAGACCCAGAAGAAAATAACTGCTTGTTGGCACTGAATCATCTTCATTTCTTAGAAAGCTGGGGTGAAATGTTGGTTTAATGGGCACAGAGGAAATTACACATATGGTTTTCCCACTTAAGCTGGTAGCTCTGCATAGGATTTCTGCTTACCCTTGGAGACTGGACCCAGTTAAGAGATTGCTAAGCTTATGTCTACTCTCAGATGGTTTGGTGAGCCTGTTACTTAAGAGCAGGAGTGAAGTTTGGTGCTTTTAGAGCCAGTGATTCTCAGATGTCTCCTTCACCTAACCTGCCTGTGGGTTCACTCTGAAGGAGGTAGGGAATTGTCTTCTCTGTTACCTGACTACAAAAGCTGTAAGATACCAAGAGAAGATCCTTAATACAAAGCAATGCCAAACTTAATGTGTAGGAAATTGTTTATAATAGTACAAACATGGCAACAGGAGAAAAGATGCAGAGCATCTTAGTGGCATTTATGTCATTCTCCTCTAGACACAGCGGCCATTGTTGTATTTTAGGCTGGAAGAAACTAGGATAAATAATTATTGCTTAAATCTGTTGTTTTCCTGAATTTTTACTGATAAGTGTCCTTCTTGGTGGCTGCATTAAAGGTTAATGTCAGGCCTTACTGAGGAGCATGCCCTCCCAATGAAGGGATGTGTGGGAATGGTCACAGCGAGTCATACCAATAATCCATAAATCTTACTGCAGTATAAAAAGCTTTTCATCACTTTCTGATGACGATATTTAAGGAGTAGGAGAAAAAAAAAAGAAGTAGGTCTTTGAGGTGAAATTTGTTCTGTCGGTGCTTTTTAAAGTCTGGGGACATAACACAAAGGTACTTCTGTACATAGCACAGGAGACACAACTTTCCTTGGAGGAATGAAGCCCTGCTGTGCGGACTGAAAAGGTTTTCTCATCTGCTTTTGAAATCGCCCTAAAATTCTGCTTGCACTTCATTCAGCCAAACCCAGGAGGTGTTGGTCTGATCCTGCCAGCACTTGGTGTGCACAGATCACGTTTTTCCAGCAGCAGGAGCCCAGAGCAGTG